AGTTGACTTGTGGCCGAGTTGACTTGTGGCCGAGTTGACTGTGGCCGAGTTGACTTGTGGCCGAGTTGACTTGTGGCCGAGTTGACTGTGGCCGAGTTGACTTGTGGCCGAGTTGGATTCAAATTAGGCCAATGCTTTATTTAAAAGATCTACTACTTTGTAACTACATTATCATTTTTTGCCATTGCATTGGGTTTAGGATAGGCCAGCATAATTACAGAAATCGCAATTTTTAAAAATATATTTATTGTTACCTTCAACCACAGGAATTCATAATGCAACAGACGATGTACCGGATAAAAGACCCCAAAGTCTCACTTGACTTTTACACCAGGGTTTTAGGAATGAGGTAATTATCATAAACATGGTAAAAAAAGAACCAAAACAAAATTCAATTAAAACGTAGATTGAAAGCCGTGGCGAATTCAGGGATGGTGGGACCTAGGACTCGGGGGTGGGGGGGGGTAACTTTTATGGGAGGAGGTCCAGACTGCACCCCAGCCCAAACTTGATTGGCTGACGTACGCAGTGATTATGGCACCTCTAGATGAATGGAAAGGGCACTCTCAGTCTTAAATTAGAATTAGAATTTAAGTTCCTTCTTTCTCCATTTTTTTCATTAAAAAAATTACAGTATATTTCTTTTTGTTATTCGTTTCAGGTTGTTACATACTTTCGATTTCCCCAGTATGAAGTTTTCCTTATACTTTATGGGATACTGCAAGCCTGAAGACATCCCTGCCGATCGAGCTGAAAGAGCTAAATGGTGCTTCCAACAGAGTGGCACAATTGAACTGACCCAGTTAGTATTAGGCTTTTCTCTGCCTTTGGTACTTCTACTAGTGCTATCTTGCAGATGTCACAGCGTCACTCTTTACTTTTTTTTTTATATTAAACAAAAATATACAATTAATTATGTATTGGATAAACTATATTATGCTTTTATGCTTTCAATCGTAAAAGAAAATGTGTTGAATATGTTTCTCTTTGCAGTAATTATGGGACAGAATCTGACCCAGAGTTCAAAGGTTACCACAATGGTAATTCTGAGCCAAAAGGTTTTGGTAAGTACATCATAATGGTCTTGAGGTTCTGGAGTTATAAAATGTAGTTTAATTATTCTAGACCTTATTTGTAAAACGTTTACATATTCTCCAAGCTAGGTTGAAAAAAAGCAAGAATCTGATAAAAATGTGTAAACAGTTTCCAATTGGTTTTATTATGACTGATTTCTACAGTATAACAATTGCCAAGCTTGATAAATATGAATCTATTTAAATATAACCCAAATTAAATTTGTCAAAATTTGTTTGTTAAATGCACTCCTTCAGTTTCACAATGCAGTCAAAAATTAAATACATTTGGGTTCTCAGTTTCTCTATCTTTTTTGTAACAGGACATATTGGACTGTCTGTCCCTGATGTTGAGGTTGCTTGTAAGCGATTTGAAGAACTAGGAGTAAAATTCATCAAGAAACCGAATGCTGGTAAGCACAGTTTACTGATGCTTTATGGTAATGCCCTGTCTGGATTACCAAATTTAATTTGACGAAAACCTGTGACATACCTAAATACAGTTATGATGATATCACATCATGACCATATATAGGCATATCATCACTATATATGTATACAGGACGAGTCGAGTGGCTGAGTAGTAAGGCAAGGGCGCCGCTAACTACAGCCTTAACATCGGCGCTGGTTCCAGCCGCTCCTCGCCCATGGTTCGGTTGGTAGAACCAAGTCTTCTCGGATAAAGACCAGTGAATACATATGGCTCATGTGCACAACCCATTGCATCTTTCGGAAAAGTAGAGTGGTTACCCCGATGTTATGGTTAATTTTAGCCCATCATGGAATGATGAGAACATGTAGCTACCATGAAGCGCCTCTTTATTGCTGCTAGGTAGTCACGGACCACACCATACGCAATTCAGCACAATGACGCTGCAATTTATGGGTATTCTACATTTACCTTTCCCTAAATGTTTGCTTATTTTTGTGTGTAGAGGTATTTTTAATTTTTGTAACTAATTTAAATCATCAAACTTTTTTATTCCAATATTCAGGTACAATGAAAGGGCTGGCCTTTATACAGGATCCTGATGGCTACTGGATAGAGATACTAACTGCTCATAAGATGGCAACAATATAGACACTGTGTATTTTAATATCAGACTTACATTGATTAGAATACTGTACAATACTTTTAAGATGGATAATTTTATTTTTAATTCAGTGAAACAAAATAGTAGTATACTATAAGTAATGTATTCATTATTTCTTTAAAAATAAGTAAAATAAATTAATACAATTACTTATTTAATCACTTGTTCTTTTTTCGTACATACAGTATTCATTGTTGATAGAACAAAAAAATGTTATGCTATTGTAAACATCGCCATAAAAAAAAGATATATAAAGTTGCACATCAGTTTCAATTTTATTTGCTCAGTGGTCAGTGGTAGCACCAGCAGGGCGACACAAGACAACCTTCTGGGAATCATGCACCCCCTCCCCATCAGGAAACACCGCTATCCTTTTATGAACTTGACAGTTTTCTCATGGACAAGAGATTCATAGGTATAAGCTAACTACCACAAAATCTGAATTTAGGGGTTGGGATAAGGCTTATACCAGGGAAATACTATAAAAATCTTGATATTGGGTCTTCTCCCATGACCTTTTCCCATCCCCTCTCATGTCATTATACTCTACTTATACACGCATTATTTATAAATTGGTGATAGAGTATCAATTGTCTGTATTCTTTGAAAATGTTCCAAACTGAACAATAGAGCCTGATTTTAGTGTTTGTAACTGTCGTTGACCTCTTCGTATCATGTATTCAATTCTCAGTGTATCTGTCCGATCAATCCGAGCATTTTTACGGAATTCTTGCTTGACCCTGCTTGTAGCTCCTGGCTTATCTGCAGCCAATCGTAGAAACTGTTTGTAAAGACCTAAGACCTGTATTTGAAGCTTACTGTGTCTTGCCATCAGTGACCAGATAAATTGGAGATGTTTACAGTATTGAGGGAATTCAATGAAATCTGTGCTTCATGGTTTTTTTAGGAAGTTCCATGTCCAAAAAAAATGCATCATATTTTTCCCAGTAGGAGAGAATCTGAAATTAAAAAAAACAACAAACGGTATTTAATGTTAGGGTACATTTAACATAGCACTGCACATTATTATTCTATTAGGAGCTTGTGGAGGTGCAGGGCAGGGCCACTGAGAGGGGATGGGGGGGGGATCCCCAGGCTCAAGCTTACCAGGGGGCCCTCATAGAAATTTCAGGTAGCATTGTTTTTTCAAAAATAATTGCTATCATGGGCCCTCAATAATGGCATGGGTTGCCTAATTGGCAATATGGACCCTCCTGCAGATTGTCAGGGCCCCCTCAAAAACATTTTTAGCGCAAACTTTCTTGCACTACGCGCTCGTAACTGCGGGCCCAGGACACCAACCTTTGCCTTGCCCGTTACAATTTCCCCTGTGGCGGGGCATTCTACACCCCTAGAATGCTGTGGCGGATCCAGGAATTTGAAAAAGAGGGGCCCGGAGAGAGACTTTCACAGGTGGTGGAGGGTGTATACTATTAGCCTACCTCAGCCCCCACCATTCCATGGTTGGGCTCCGAGTGAGGTAAGAAAAATGGCACCGCTAGCTAGATGACCGTAAATGGCACTCTTTGACTGAAAATTTTAGTCAAATTTTCTTAATATATTAAAAAATTTTGACAAATTTAGGGTGGGGGAAGGGGAACCGGGCCGGCGGGGCTTCCTCTCCCCCACATTCTTGAATCCACATTAAGGCCTAGTCTCTATGTACGGAATGTGTAAGAACTAGGCATAGACTCACAGAAGAAAAGAGGCAAGTAATAACATTTTGAATATGAAGAGGACAAAAAACTATCAATGTTCAGTAAAAGTTAAAAATTGTGAAATGTTCACAGAACTGGATAATTTTTCGCTCGAACTGGCATTATCCTATGTCTGGCCTTGCTGGGGTCTAAGGTACTATATGCGGCCAGCCTGTATGCGGCACTGGTTCTACAACACGATGCGATGCCCAAAAACCAAAGAGCCTAGTAGAGAAGAATAGAGGCCTAGACCTAGCCTAGATGATGAGCTAAAGCAAAAACAGAAAAATATGGTCCCATGTAAAAAACCTTAATGGTATTAGTAGTTAACATATACAGTTAAGTATTTAACATATATAGTTTCTTGTCTGATATTTTAAATACATTCATTCAGCCATATAATCTATCATCAAAGTGTTACCGTTTTCAAGACAACATGCAATGTTTACCATAGCGAAACATGGCAGGGTGTACTCTCTTACACACTGCAGAGCGTATAATTTCCATGAAAATAGCTCATAAAACATTAGAGCATGGCTAACCAGGAGCGGGTCTAGAGATGTCCGAAAAAGGGGAGAGGGGTTCGAAACTGGGGGGGCCGATCAAGATAACACCACCCCATGCCCACGGGCAATTTTTGTTTTCTAGACGCCCGAAAATAACCTGAGGCGTTTTGGGCGATCATTTTTTTTTTTTCTTATTTTTTTTTTTTTTAACTTCCAAAAAAAAAAAGGATCCTAATCCTCCACCGGTAACTCTAGTAGCCACGTGAGTGTATTTACACTTTTAAACATACAGTATTTGTTTATAATGTACATAAAAATAATTCAGTGGGAAGAAAAGCGCTATTCCCGACGAAATTTTTTTTTTTAAATTTCCCCTTTAAATTTAAATTTTTTTTCCACCCTCCTCTGATGAACAAGGTGTAAAAAAGTCTCACTTCCGGGCTTTATTTGTTTTTAGCTTTTACTATGTTAAAAACAGTAGTATTTTGTCCCCCTCTCTGACAACCTGTTTTCTCCTCAACGTTCCCCGACAGGCCAAGCCCCTGCTGGCGCCACCCATGACAAAATAATTGCCTGTAAAATACAACTGGATAAAATAATGAACTAGATAAAGCATGTTTCATAATCTTAAATATTTACATCATAACTTTTATTCACAATATACACAAAAAAAAAAAGAAAAATGTTAAGTACTCTGTTGAGTACAAAGCAGCAACAGAAATTTGATCAGCAAATATAGAAAGGTGCACAAAGAAGGTTTGGCTTGGTGACTAAAATGCTTACCTTCTAATATCCTGGGTGGACAAATCCACTCCACTATGCCTCAAATGACCATAGTTTATACAGCATTATTTTTATCGTTTTATTAAAAACTAAATTTGTTTTTTGATATAACATTGTGAGAAGTAAATACCACAATTAGTACATAATGACCAAATCAATAAATATAGTAAATTATTGGCTGTGTTAAAAAAATAGGGGTCCTGGAATAAAAGCCTTGGTGAGGTTCATGGGGAGAGATTTTATCATGTTTTAAACCTGTTTTCAAGTAGGCGAATTTAGTTGCACGAATCGAAAGTGTTGGTTCGCTTTCTGAGCTCTGATTGCTTGCTCATTCTTTCGCTTCGCCAAACAGTTTAAACTACTGATTTCGCTGAAGTGAAAAACTCCTGATAGAACGTGAATGCGCATGAACTCACGCTTTCAATTCACGTGAATAAATTTGCCTAGTGGAAAACGGGCTTTACACGTTACCAAAATTTTGCTTTTAGACAACAATATTAGGGATTGGCAATCACATTAACTTTAGTTTGGATCAGCAAATGAATATATTTAGTTTGTAAATGGTGTGTCCACACACACCCCATATTATTATTATCAACCACCTGTTTAACATAATATGCTGTTATGAGCCACCTGTACAGGCCTATCATATTGCTGCTATCAACCAAATGTATATCATGTGGGTGCTATCAACCAAATGTATATCATATGAGTTCTTAACACACCTGTACAGGTGTTAAACAGGGTTTGAATCTCCCCCACAGCACAGACAGCAATTGCTGTAGAAAGGGTCTTCCATTGCTATTGTAAATCCCAGGCTCGACAGCAAGCTTTTTGATGTTGAGTCACCTGCCCCAACAATGGATTGTATACTTTAATTTACAGAATAGGCCTATTCTTAAATCAATTTATGAAGCTTGTTGCTGTAGGCAACTATTTGCTGATGAAGCATTTTGAGGAAATTTGAACCCTGTTACTACTTAACCACATCTGTATACCATAAATTGTAACATGCATTAGTCATTGCTTATTTGATAACCAATACTATGCAGATATTATTGGTCATCAAATAGCAGTGACTATTACATGTGTGTAATTGTCACTGCTTATTTGATGAACAATAACACTGTGCATGGTATGTAAGTAACATGATCAACATTAATTATCTATATGGTATGCATCTCATATGCAAACTCCTTAAATCCATAATAGGGTTGATTGAGAAACTGACTTTATACTTGTCAAGTCCAATATATTGCACTACAGGTATTAGAAAACTTATCTCCTTATTTTAATATAAAATCCCAGATAAATTCAAAAACGTTTAGTATGCTTTGAAATTTAATTACTATTATATAGTACATGATATTAAGACAGATAAAATAGCACCAACAAATATTGTGATCACTAAAGAATATTGTGGCCATCAAAATATTACTTAAGCAAAAAAAAAAAAAACAGAAGAAGAGTTACTCAACAATGATTTTATGCACAAATTTATAGAAAATAGCTAATCAAAAACAACAATAACCTTAGAATTTTAAAATACAATAAAACTGATCAAATGTTTTACTGAATATTCATAATTTTTAAAAATAAATTTGTCATTAGAAGATAAATATCGCATGTACTGTATATAATTAAACATAAAATAACAGTTACACTATATTAACAATGATAAAAGAAGAAAATTGTAAATATAAATAAATGGTAAGCTATATAGTCAGTTTATAATTATCTGTGTCCTTATATGCAAATATATTTGATAATGTTCTAACATATCACCAAGCCACTAATGATAAAAAAAAAAGAGTTGTTTGTTTATGTAAGCATTAATTATAAATATTCCAGGTGGGTAAAACATTATTATTCAGATAAATCTCAGGATCACCTGTTCTCTGTGAATCTATTAACGTATGGTTGTCTGCTGCCCTCTGCACCATAAAAATTGACTTTTCCTAAGCTATTCATATCAAAAGATGTCCCTGCACCTTGTCTACTTGATACAGGTCCAGAATTCAGCCCTGTGGTTTGCACCCTGTAAGTGTCTTTAGGTAAGTAAGGCTTTGAGAAATCAATTCCAACTCTAGGGTTTGCTCTAAACTGACTTGGATTAGCCTCTGCGTAAGTGTTAGATGCAAATGCTGATAACCCTACTGTAGTACTGGCAGCATATCGTGACGTGATACTCGGAATTGTCTGTTGAGGTCCATTAGAAATAGGTTCTAAATTTGAATGGAAACTTAAATCCTTCATTGGCGTTCCATGTGGTGTACTAGATGCACGAGTTGGCGTTGATAAAAAGGCTGATTTATACTCTTTCTCAATTCCAGACGCTAATTGGTATGGCTGTTCTCTCGGGTTGTATACAGTTGATATATTAGAGGATAAAGGTGCTGGCGGAGGGAGACTAGTAAATGTTTTGAGTGTTCCTCTGGTAAAGCCTGCCATTGATGACGGACGTGTCCAATCGTCTTTGATCACTTGAATTGTTAGGTTGAAAACTAGATTTGATAATTTATTTGCAACATGGGCTAAAACAAGCTGTGAAAAAAAGCAAAAAAAAAAACAAATGTGAAAATAATTTTTAAAAAATCTATACCGTCCATTACATACAAAGACTTATTTGCAGTGGAGTCCTGGCTGCCACTGTGTTTCTTGAGCTGAACTTGCTAATAGAACATGTTAAAAATGAATATGAACCTCAATCTTTACCTGTTCGTCAGCATCTCTACGTACTCGTACATGTAATGACCCGGCCAGAGTTCCAAATGATAAAGTCCAGAAATGTTCATTACGAAACTCTAAAACGCCATCTAAAGTGGAGGCCTATGGTAAAGATAAAAAACAAGTTAAATCATTATGATTATAAATTTCATAGAACATACTTAGAACTTGTATACAATGTAAATAAGGCAAAACTTTTTTTATTATACCTTGCTTCACAAACTTACTTTTTTAAAGATCGCCAGAGAAGGGTGGGGAAAAAAAATTAAGATAAAATTTTGTTTTCTTATTTAGCAAAAAGTTTTGCCAAAAACGTCCAGGCAAAGGAGAAAATAAAAATAAAATGTTATTGGTGAATGTAAACAGTGTAGTAAGAAATAGGATGGTTAAATTTATATAATTAGGAAGAAACATTCATATCTTATTTTTTAAGACTTCTAGGCAGTGACTTTTTTTCTGAAATTTACATTTTTTTCGTGGCGGGTGATTACACAAATTGATAAAAAATAAAGTTTTTTTTTTTATTTAAAATCATTAGTGGCGGGTGGCAGGTTCGTTAAACAAGGTATAAAACAAGTCTCACCTAAGTGTTAATTAATTTGCATACATTATAGTCTGTCAGTCTTTTGGTAAAACATCCCAATACCAGCATACTGTATTTTGTGAAGAATTCTGCAGTGCAAACTATAGTATAGAGTGCAGGCAGTAAATACACAGTTATTATTATTATTGAAATAAAAATATATAAATAATTTAAACACAGTGGCCTATAAAAATACCAATCTTCATATAATATTCTACCTCTCTCAAACTCTTGTCCAACTGACCAATGATGTGTTCTGGGGTAGTCTGCAGCAATATTGTTCCACTATATACACTCATAGGGAACATTGTCCCACAGATCATCAACGCTATACTGTACGCCGCCAATATATCAGCTACATAATAATTACTGTAAAAAAAATAACAGATTTAAAAAAACAGGTTTAAAAAGTTTATATTTTATTGACTTATCTATAACTCTAGTATTTGCAAACGCAGAAATCTTTCGATGCAGAACATCACCTTTTAAATTTCATGCTTTTAGGTACTGAATTAATGTAATTATTATAAGTGATAGTAAATGATGACTTACTTTACATCAACAAGTAGATCAACAATAAATAGAGCAACCCCTCCAGCAAGACCAATCAACATGAGGGGGTTGACACGCGGTAACAGCAGCCTATCTAAGCCAGGTAATACAGAGCAAAAACTGAAAAATAAACAGCAAAATTCACCATGATTAATTAGATCTTCTATGGCCAAAAAATCTGTAGTCTAGAAAATGTTCTTTTTTTTGCTGACCAGTGATATACAGGGTAGTAAGAAATTCTCCTAGCATAGGGCCAAGCTTGATTGGTCCAGTAAACAGTATATGGGCTAGTAAAATCTTCCACTAACTTATAGTTATAACCAGAGCTAGTTTATAAACAAAATTTAGAGCAAGGCCAGAAAGTAATGTTTCTGAACATGATTAATAGTAGAATTAAATTGCAGGCTACCACAAAACATTTGCAGGCCCATAGCCAGGTGCTTCCAGGGGGGGGGGGGTTCTCTGGGCCTGGGGTCCAGGGGCAAAGCCTCGGTGGGGTGGGAGAAAGCCAGAGGATTTCTGCGTTTCACGGAATTAAATAAGGCTAATAAAAGCAGTTATGTTTGAAAAATGCCTGCGGTGCATTTGTTGGATTTGAGGAAATTCGGGGGGAGGGGGGAGCGGGGTTGCCCGAACCATAAATCCCCACCCCTGGCTACAGGCCTGATTTTGCAACAACCAATCAATTAGAAAATGTTACTCAGAAAGCAGGGCTAAAAATAAGTGCATGTTCCACACTCAAGTTTACAAATGCGCATCATCAGTCATCATGGTTTCCATTTTGTGAGACTTTTGCCAACAATAACCAGAAGACAGACACTGTCAGGGCTTAGCAGTAGTCCATTATTCAGGCCTGCCCATAGTAAAATATTCACACCTGCCCATTGTAAAATTTTCAGACCTGATTATCTTCAATGAATCAATATGCTGAACACTGTACATCTGCCAACTCTCACGTACAATAAGAGAGTCATAAAAATGTTTATAAAAAATAATATGTGTAGGCGATTATTCATCAAAATGTGAATACAGGTCACATAAAATATAAAACGAAGCTATAACCACCAACAGCTAATCCATAGCAGTTCCACTACAATTCTAAAAAAAAACCAGAAGGGTGATCTCTTGCGTGGTTATTACATAGAAGCACTGTAATCAAATTTTAATTTTTTTTTTGTCTCGTGCATCAGACACAAACGAAGTTGATAGTTATAACACTGAGAGAATATACACAGCACATCCTACCTTCTGCTCATATCAGCAAAATGCACTTGCAGCCAACTGGAACTAGACGCAGCAATCACATGGTCAAAAGCTACATTTTTCACTCCATATATGACAAAGATATGGCAGAAGAATCCTAGGCCAGCCCCTAGTAGTAGCCTACCAGTATGCACCTCCTCTGGCTTAAGTAAAAGCTCAGTACTAGATAGAAAGAGAACATTTTATTTATCAATCTCAAGTACAAAATAATTCAGAGCATCAAACTATCAAATTTTATATAACAAAAACATATGACATGCCCAAATATGGGCATTTTCACATTATGACTATTATATAGGCCCATTATGACTATATCTGGACCTACAAGATTTTGTTGTCAAAGAATATTTGATTATCTGGACAGTGCTTTAGCCTGATGAAGAGACATAGTTGATAGCGTTGAGGATAAGAAAGTATTTAAAATTTCTCCAAACCTTTCTTTCATAATAAAAACTGCTCCAAATATTGCCAACATAGTACTTGCAAAAACAGCTAATACTTCAAACCTCTCGTACCTATTTAAAAAATTAAATACATTGTTAAATAGCTTCTTATGCCCTAATATAATCAAATTATACAGTAAGTATAAACAAGATATTCACTTATTTATGTGATTACCACATGAACAGATTAAAGATATGATATACAAACATAGAATCATATATTTCATTTTCAATTATGGCCAAATTAATTTCAAATTAAACAATCAATCACTCAATTTATATGGCGCCATTTGAACAGTTACTACTTGTTACTAGGTAGAAATTAAATGCAACAAAATTAATAGCACACAACAAAATCAATTGGTGAACCCAGCTCGTTATCTACATGTTCTGTGGTTTCCATATGAGTGAACACATTACACAGATCATCTGGTGCATCTAGATATAAAAGAGGATATGTATTGCTTCACAGGATTGAGTTAAAGGTGTTTTCATTTTCAACAGGCACATAATATATGCCAGCTCATTACAATTCTAATATGAGTCATTAAAAACTAACTTAAAACATTTTTGTTTACAAAAACGCTTTCATTTGGTTAATTGTTCACAGTGCCTTTGATGTTTTGAAATGTCTGCATGTTACTATTATTATTATTATTATTCTTATTATTATTATTCTTTCTCAAAATTCTTCATTGAAATTAAAATAATTAAAACTATTGCTTACCCAAAGGAAAATGAAGACGATGATTTCTGTTGTCTCACCCATATACTAACCAATGCTGTTCCAAGGTATGTTAAGTCAAAGATTAAAAGATTGGTGTATGCAGTTAAGGCTGGAATATGAAAAATATTATGAAGGAAAATTAACAAAAATTAATGTTACGTTTATAAGCAAATAAAGAAAAGCATCCATCGTACAAAATTAAATATATGGACTCGGAAAACTGACTACAGTAGCTCATTTCAAAGGATTTATTAACTTCCAGTACTGTAAATTATTTAAATAAATGCCCAAGGCACTGTAATTTATTGTTCAGGTTTTTTTTTAGATGTCCTTTAATAGGTATTGGCCGTAGCATTAATCTACATATATCCACATAATAGGAGCAAAGATACTAGAAATACAAGATAGAGTTCTCGCATTGTAAAAATGAGGCGGAAGTCGTGCCCTCCGGCCATGCGATTCTGCGCTATATTGTTGTTTTATTCTTTACTGATTCATGATTATGCTTTAATTGTTTTGTGTATTATTTGGATAATAGCAACGATTTCTACCGCCACCAAGGAGGTTATGTATTCACCGATATGTCACTGTCTGGGTGTCTATTCCAGTTTGTTTTTATATCTAGTATCTTTGTTGAGAATTGATAATAAAATACGCGACGACTTGGTAACGAAAGTTTTGCACAAGTTTTTTTAGATCCAGCTGTAGGGGGCGTCCCATTTTTCGTATTCCCACCATGCATTTCGGTGGAACCCGGTGGAACACTTTTTTTGTGCGGAGAACTCTATCTTGTATTTCTAGTATCTTTGATAGGAGTGTCCCCAAAATAGAGGCATTCCAAAAGGAGGGATTCTAACTTAGTAAAAGTTTGCTTCAAGCTAATAACTTTGGATACATGTTTCAGTGAGTGTGTAATTAAATGTTTTCTTACCCATACTGCCTGTAGAATTACACCATATGAGCAAGACCAAAATACAAATCACTGTAAATACACTAAATATTGCAAGTCTTCTTGTCTGAAATGTGAGTATACATGTACCAATTTGCCATCAATTGTGAATGAATAATACAATTGTTTTCTTAGATATTTAAGTAAAATCAAAACACATATGATCATGTATCATAAAACTGGAGCACAGCAATTGTTGAAATTTATTTTACCTGTGCTTTGCCAGCCAGTGATTTCCACTCCTGAACAACTCGGCCAATAATACCAGTTTGATTACGTGAAAATGGTTGAATCGTTCCCGATATATATCCTTTAGTAGAACCATTTGTTGTGCCTCTCTGTCTCAGGTCTGTGTTGAATGAAGTAATATTTCAAAGTGTATATTTAAACTGTTAGGTTATATAAAATTGAATATAAAAATGACACAGTATTTATGTAAGACCCACCAGTTATCCAAACTGGTTTATTAATGCGCTAATATTAATTAATTGTAAATAGTGAATGATGAATGCATGAGATGTGGTAGGTCGTAAAATAAAATACCTGTAAAAAGGCTTTTGATACCACAATAAAAAGTTTATTTTTCACTTTATAATCTCCTCTAAACATCCCCAAGGGGGCCTAGGCCTCGTTTAGATCATACTGATATAAACGTTACAGTAGCCCCTATTTATATTATAAATAAGGAAGTAAATATATTGGTTCTGGTTATCTATTTTCCATTGAAATATTTGGAATTACAAATATTATTAATTAATTTTGAATTCAAAGACAATTTGACCAAATATCTAGGCCCTCCTGACAATGCTCCTGTCACACTTATTGAATCACACAGGGCCTAGGCTAGGCCCCTACTAGGCCTAGCTAACAACAACACTGACTCACCGGCCGAAAGGAATTCTACTCCACCGCCAGTTGAGGCTATATCCATTGACATGTCTGGCGCATCAATATCTAAAGCCACTAATTCTTGCCTTTTCATCGTGTCATACGATGAATGCCCAAAGTTATTTTCCATTGCATTGTATGCCATTTTTCTAGTCAAAAACCTTTCATTTTGGTCTTGCAACGTGGATGTTTTTACGTTAAAAGTTAACCGATCGGAAGCCATATTGTTCACGTTTACATCACCATTAAAGCCTCTACAAACTACAATGTGATTGGATGAAGTTTTGCAAAAAATACAGTCTCAACCAATAAAAACGTACAAAAGTGGGTTTACAAAACCAAAATAGATTGATGAAACGTTGGTGGCAGCACATTCGAAGTACAATCACGTTTTACAAAAAGGTATTTTGTTTTTAATTTATGTACAATAATTTACGATTGAGTTAGTCCACTCCTAGTATTTTCAGTAAAAGCTAACCGAAGTTTTCTGGTGACGTATAGTTCATTAGTAAGGCTATCCGCCAGGTTTTCGTGTCTTCATTTTTTTTTTTTATCACCGGACGTATGCTAGGCCTATTATGACAGGTCCACCTCCCTCTAAAATCCTATGCGAGAGTGATGCTGCTGTTCACGGCCGCTGTGATTTGTGTGTATGAAGATAGTGCGGTGAGCTTAGGGCCTATGGTACGGTTTGTGGACAAAACGGCAAAAACCAAAACGGCAATGATAAGTACCAAAACGGCAACAGCCCAAAACGGCAATGTAAATTACCAAAACGGAAATAGGCATAGGCCTAGACCAAAACGGCAACGGCATACCTGCCAACATTTAAAAGAAGAAAAGAGGTAGGAAGTTATTGAGAAAATGGCGCGTAGCACCATCCGAGTGCGAAGCCCAAGGCGGGGGGGGGGTTGGGGAGGGGGATATCCCCCTCCCAACAATGGGGGGGGGTCCAGGGGTGCAGCTATAACAGTTCAGTAAATTTAAGGGTTTAGATAATCAATTTTAGAGTTACAAAAAATGGAAAGAATAGGAAATGTTCAGTTAGTCAAACTCATACATTAAAAAAAGTCAACACACTATAGTTTCAAAGTCTGTCCTGCAACTCACACAAAAAGCATGAAACTGACCTTTCCTCGATTACTTAATACAACTGTGGTCTGCAGTCCATTGGTCTTTAAATTTGTTATTCCATTGGATTTTATTTTACTCATTGTGAAAAACTATAAAAAATAGGATCAGATGATAGATCGTGGCCTCGTGTGATCCCACACTACTCCTAGGCTATCCTAGGTGACTCAACACCACGCTTGCCTCAAGTTACCATAGGCTACTGCACCAGGCGCCAAAAAATAATATAGCTTGCGGTGTCTAGTGTACAAACACTAAAAAAAACAAGATTATTTTGATTGAGAACTTAGCATAAAATAATGTTGATTTTCAATTTTTAAAAATCGGTAGGAACAGCCTGGTAATTCGGTAGGCGGTAGAAAAGTGAGAAAATCGGTAGCCTACCGCCTAAATCGGTAGGGTTGGCAGGTATGCAACGGAGCAAAAATCAATGCCAAGAAGACTGAAGCGCCACCGGCTTATCTTATAATTTTTTGAATCGTTTTTTTTTTTTTGGTTTTTTTTTTCTGTGTTTTTTTTTTACATATATATTTTAAAGTGTTATTTATTTTTTTTCCCCGTTTTTTGCTTTCATATTATTATTAGCCTCATATATTATCTGTATTTTAAGGTTTTAATTATTTAAATGTTCACTGGTTTTATATTGTATATATTATATATTTGTGTTCCCCCCCAATCTTTCTTTCTTTTGAATTTGTATGTTGTATTGTTGTTGTTATAATAATAATAATAATAATTATTATTATTATTATTATTATTATTATTAATATTATAATTTTTTTTAATTATTATTATTATTATTAATGTTGTTATTCTTTAAAGTGTTTTTTTTTTCTTTCGTGCTCTTTTACTTTTATGACATAAATTGTTTAGCCTCATTTTGTCTGTATTTTAAAGTTTTAATCATTTAAATGTTTACTGCTTTTATATTGTGATTCCCCCAATCTTTTTACTATTGAATTTGTATGTTATGCTATTATTATTATTATTATTATTATTATTATTATTATTATTATTATTATTATTATTATTATTAATCATTGTACTTTTATGTAGTGCCACATTGGAATTAAGTTTTACTTCTTAAAGAAAACTTTCATAGACCATCCTTGCATCATCTTTTATTGTAATATTTTTTTGTCCTGCCTTGTGCGAATTTTATCTGTTCTGTACAATGTTTTGATGATGAGGACTGAACTGATGATATACCAAAATAAATATTGAATCAGAATGGTCTGTTAATTTTATTTGAGTTGTACTTTTTTTTGTTATACAGTAATTAGTAACGGCAGTTAAAATAAAACCATCAAACCGAGGTAAATACGAGTTAACAGCACCTTAAAGTTCATGAATAAGGTGCGACATCAAGAGGGGGTTTTTAAAGGTAACGCCCATAGAACGTTACTTTTAATAACTTTTTAATTTTAAAAAAAAGGCGTTTTAAGCAAACTATTGTTGATTCAGCAATTCAGTTATTAACTGTGTTGCCTACAGTTTATGGTCAACTGGTTTTGACTTATTGCCATTTTGGTCTTGCCGTTTTGGTCCATTGCCATTTTGGTCCATTACCGTTTTGGTCTAAAAGTTGTTGCTGTTTTGGTTTTTTGCCGTTTTGGTCATTGCTCTTTTGACTTATTGCCGTTTTGTTTTTTTGCCATTTTGACCTGTTCCCTAAGGTACTAGTAGGAACGTACTAATAATCTTGGTTCAGAATAAAAAATATCAAAGAGATGGTATGGTTTATGATAAAATAAGTCATTAAAAGTATTAAATCAATTACTATTGTTTGGTAAGTTTTATACACAGGTAACAGAAAGTTACAGTTGAAGGCTTTCGCCTGTTAACCGCTATTCGATTCTTTACTACTAGCATTTTACCTACCATATTTTAACTATCTTTTTAATTAAGTTAGGTTCGGAATACGGCCTCACTACACTGGCTAATTATATTTTCCATGCAATAACAACAAAAGAACCTCTATTATTCAAACTTAATAAATGCCGCTATTTTAAGATTATTTGATTTTAATTATTTTTTATAATGTGCTCAGTGCTAATTACACGATGAATGCCTACGGTTAAGAAATTACATGTATATGTAGATTTAAAAAAAAAAACCCAGAAAATTATGTCAATTTACAAACTCTGCATGTATACCCAGGGAGTTGTTATACCGTATATGTCAAGTGGTGAGTATTTTACTTTACTTTAAGAATCAGCTCAATCTTAATTACTGTATTTTATAAATACTATAGTACTATACTTTAGGTTGCTGTATGACAACATACCAAACTGGTGATCTGTATTCCCCTAAACATAATGTTCGGCAGTAAGAGGATTTGGAATGGAATGAAGTATGTTATATACGCTGAACTGGTGGCGGTGGCAGGTGGTTACTATGTGTTTCACAAAATGAACACGAACCAAGGTGAGCCCTCACTTGAATCTACCACTGTATATTAGTGAATATTATTTGCTGTCAGATAATTAGTGAATTTCATTGGATGTTGGTAAAAGAAATGGTGAATTTCGTTGCCTGTTAGTATACCATAAATGAATAAATTAAATTTATTTTAGACAACATTTATTTTGTATTTTTTTTTTTTTTATCTAGATTTCAGAAAATATATGCACTATAATTATCCAGTTGTATTAGAAGGTAAGATGACAATGTCTAATATAATTATAAAATACTGTAATATTAACATTACAGTATTTTATAATTTGAATGGTATTACTATTTATTGTATTATAATCATTATCATCAGTAAAGATAACGGTCTTCACATTATTACTCCCGGTCATTGGATCAAGCAAATATGGAACACATATGAGAAAGCTAGTTACTTATTCTCCATAGAGGGTGTATATGCAAATTAGGTCACATAAGTGTGGTGGGGAATATAGAGGTCAAATGGCTCTTGGCTATGACTGAGGATGAAAGCTGACAACACTGTTTATTACATACGTTGTACTGTGTTAATATACTCTACTTCTTTCATAGTTTTCTACAAGACAGCCGAGTATGGAGGAATAACAGATGCACGCAAGAATGATTATGCCCAATGGGGTCAAATTACAGATTCGTCACCAGAATCGTGACATTGACGGAAATTTGTGCAATGAAGAAGCCGGGACTTATATATCTATAGAGGTTTTTATTGTGTTGCGATTGGTCTCCCTGGAAAAAAAAGGGAACATGAGCGGTGGAGTTGGATTCATTCTCATTTGTTTCTACTGCATATTGGACTGCATTTCGATCAATCAATTATTTTATTCACTCAAAACATTACATTACATTATACAGAGGGGCAAGCAGAACACTAAAGCAATGCTTGTCTAATAAATGTGTTCCTCCTGCTAGACTTATCTATAATAGTAAAAAAAAATAAATAAATAACTTAACTATATTTGTTTATTTAGTAACATTTCTTTGTAAAGCTTCTTGAAGTTTGAGGAGCTCTTCGAATTTGTTACGTTTTATCAGCTCGAATTTGTCTAGTTTAGATGTGACTGATTTTGTACAGGACGTTTTATGATGGCAATACTGTAATACAGAATGTGTTACAGGTGATATAATGATAATAATATGTGCATGTTTTTGTTTATATGGGATCCAATTTATGTTTATTTTACTAAACTTTGGTAGCCTCTGCCCAAGTGGATCATAAAGTCTTAACCAGTGGTGTCGAGAGCCAGTAAGGGCCCCGGGGCAACACCTCACATGGGCCCCCCCCCCCCTTCACTTGGCTTCACTTGGGACCCCACCACTCGGCCGCTCCCCAAATTAAGTCTCCTCCTAAGACCCTATTTTGCCCAAACCCACATACATGAATATGATTCCATGTGATTATTTTTTTGCAATGTAGATGTATCAGAATAATCTGATGAATAAACGATAATAATTATATATATAATACACGTATATACATACCACTTTGCATGCAGTGAGAGGTACATATAAAATCAATCATAAAAATTAAGATCAGTATCATTTTTCATCTTGGTCCGGGCCCCCAGTAGACCCAGGGCAGCGACCCCCTGACCCCCCTCTCGACGCCCAGTGTAATAATCTTGATAACGAATTTTCCATATAATTCATGGGTTATTTGCTGTATTTTCACCATATAACATTTTGAACAGAATAAATTTAAAATATAATGAAAAGAAAGCTATTGCTGTATATTTGCTTCATTAATTTGCCTTTCAAAAATTGCCTTTCTGAAAATTATCGGAACTGCAAACAAATTATTCTGTTTGAAATATTAAATGCCTGTAATCCTACTTATATCTTATTGTTCTTTTATGATATTGTGCCATAAATTATTTAGCCTACATCTAAACAACGTCATTAAAACCTTACATAAATGATAACAAATAATTGAATCATCAAATTTTAACATTTTGGCTCGATATGGATTGTAGTGCTGTGATGATGTTGTCTTTATTGGTAAATTCTTTGTTACCAAAATAATAGCAAGTGTATGGCAAGTCCGATTGGTTTCACTGTCAGGCATGTTTTAAGAAGACAGTAGAAAAATGTGTAATTATGCTAATTATCATTTACTTGCATTAATAAACTTCGAATAAAATTTGTATTGTGAACTGAAATAAGCATTTCAAGCTATTAGTCACTTCAAAAATCAACACAATTTGTGTAATAACAGAAAGATATAATGTAATGACATCACATAGAATCCAAGCCCGTAGCCAGGGGGGTTCGTTGGGTTCGAACGAACCCCCCTTTTCATGAAGTGCCATTTCAACAAAGGCTAGCTAGCCTACAC